CTTGCTCCCTTCCCCCTTCCGGCTGGCCCTGTCGGCTGTGCCCCTGGGATCCTGAGCCCGGGCTCCGCGCTGAGCGGCCCACCAGGGACACAGCCCCTGCCCCATGGAGCAGAGCTGGCTCCGGGCCTGTCCCAGGAAGGCTGCCCCCGTTGCGGTGGCTTTGGGGCGCTCTGCGGGGCCCTACCTGGTCGATGCCGGGCTGGATGCTGTGGTACAGTGTCCGGGTCTCCAGGTGCTCGGGGACCAGCCCGCAGGTGCGGAGCAGGTGCAGGGCCAGGCGCTCTCTCGGGGGGCCCAGGTGACGGTGCACAGGCGCCTTGCCCTCTGGCAGGGAAGCCAAGGGTTACGGGGCGCAGGACGTCCCTTCGCTCCCTTCTCTCTCCCAGATCCAGCATCACCTGGGTCCCACCCACCCAGGCTGCTCCTTGCTGCAGCCCGGCCTCCCAACCCAAATCCCAGGGCTGGGCCTGCCCCCTCATGGGCTGGCTGCTGGACCACATCGCTCCCTGAGGCTCAGCACTCACCAAACTCGGCCAGCAGGAAGGCCCGGCCCAGGAAGGAGACTTTGCCTCCGTCTGCGCTGAACTCGGGCGGAGCCAGGCCCTTGGTCCTAGCAAAGGTCTCCAGTAGCTGTGGGGGGAGGAGGGGAAGGAGCTGGTCTCGCCACTGAGAGGGGCCGGCACTGGGGAGGGGGCCCTAGGGTCAGCGAGAGGCTGTGGAGGTGGGGGCAGGGATTCGGGGGCTGTTTCATGCCTAGATGCAGAGAGCTTTCCAGGGCTGGACACTGGTCCCCAGAGGGGAAACTGAGGCCCAGAGGGCAGGACTAGCCCAAGGGAGCCCAGCAGGGCAGTGACATTTCTGGGAGCAGCTCCCCAGTCTCTGGCTGGTGTCCTGTGCTCTTCTCGGGGTGACCCCAGTGCAGGTGAGGCTGGGACTGGTCTGCTGTTTCATGCCTAGATGCAGAGAGCTTTCCAGGGCTGGACACTGGTCCCCAGAGGGGAAACTGAGGCCCAGAGGGCAGGACTAGCCCAAGGGAGCCCAGCAGGGCAGTGACATTTCTGGGAGCAGCTCCCCAGTCTCTGGCTGGTGTCCTGTGCTCTTCTCGGGGTGACCCCAGTGCAGGTGAGGCTGGGACTGGTCTGCCCCTGCACCATCGATTGTCTCCCTCCTGGGCACCCAATGCTGGTCCCCAGCTCTCTCCCCATCCGGGGCTCTGCCCCCTGCCAGCACTGGGGTCCCTCGCTCCTGCAGCAGGGCCAGCCTGTGTCTAGCCCCGGTGCCCCGATCGGACGAATCAAATTGTAAACCCTTTGTATGATGGAAACCACTTACAGCCAGAAGGGTGCAGCAGCAGCCCCCAATCACACTGTGATTTTAATCCGACAATGCATCTAATACATAATTCAAAATATACATTTTAATTTTGTTCCTCTTTATATAATCAAATGTCTTTAAGGTCCAGAAAAAGGTTCACAAAAATCAGGCAAAGTTTTCCTTACAAAGACTGAGAATCTAAAACTGCACTAATACTGGCGAAACAGATCCCTTTTAAAAGGGTTCAAATCTAAAATGCAGAAAAGCCTTGGATATTTGATAGCTAACCCTGCATTAAACCAAGCTAGATGAAATGGTGGGCAAAGCTTGAGTTTTACTTTCACTAGATCTTCCATTGTTGCAGGTGGAGCTGCACCAGTAGTAAATTGCACAGTGCAAATAAAGACTGAAATTCTGTTTATAAAGACACTGATTTCAGTGGCAGAGCCTGTGGGTAGGGCAGAATGACAGATACATGGGGAGAATTTTGCACTGAGGTTCAAGCATCCTTCAATAATTCTATCACTCTAGAGCAGGTCTGGGCAAAATAGGGCTGGCAGGCTGGATCTGGCCCACCAAGCAACCAGATTCAGCCGGCAGATGAAGCAGGAGGCTTCAGAAAAATTCCCTGCTGGCCCTGGCTCCCACATGCCACCCAGAAAAGTAGCTGCCAGGCTTATGTATTTCTCAGCTGTGAGCTGGGGGGAGCAGGTAAAGGCTGCCTGCGCCCCCAGCACCAGTGGAGGATATAGGGAAGGGCGGCCGCCCTGGGCCCCGTGCTTCAAGAAGCCTGGCGCATGCGCTGTGTCAAAGGGCGGGAAGGACCCTGCGAAACTGTGCTGCCCTTGGGGGGAAGGCTTCAGGCTCTGCCCCTGCCCAGCACAATCCCATTCCCATTTCTGGCCAGCGGGAGATGCCGGTTTCATAAAAGACCATGCCCCCTCCCCTCTGGCTCAATTATTCACACAAGCACATGGCCATGCAGCTTGCACAGGCACAGGGTGGGTAGGAAGGTAGGCTGGCTGAGAAATGTTTTAAGCTCCACAAGCATTTAGCTCTGCAGGTAGGAAGGCTGGGGGGGGGCAGGGCTGGTAAGTCTCCTGGCCAGAGCCTGCCTGTGGCACCCCAGCCCCTCCCTTCCCCCACCCTCTGACCCCCACTCAACATACCCAAACCCTCTGCCACCCTTCTGCACCCATAGCCCCTCCCAGAGCTGGCACCCCAGTCCTCTGCCCCGGATCACAACCCCTCCTGCCCTAGATCACATTCCAACCCCCTGCACCCCAGCCCCCTGCCCTGGGTCACAACTGCCTCCTTCACCCAAACTCCCTCCCTTACCCCAAGCTCCCTGCTGCATCTCAGACCCTGCACCGCCTCCATTAATAT